CATGTCATAGAGTCGAGATCCCTGTCAGCTTGCTCGTCGGGACATCTTTGCCAGCGTAAGATTAATGCTTGCCAATGCGGGATTAATCTTTCCCAGTAAGAGATTAGTATTGGTGCGCGCTACCACTCAGACTGCTTCCAGGAACCTTCACTTCTCAGACAGGGCGAATACGGTAGGGATTTTAACTTTGACCCCTAAATAATGCATGTGATAATAAGAAGCGAAGGAGTAGTGATCGTGTGAAAAACCTCCAAAAGAGATTTTTGTAACAAAATGAGCAAACAAATATGCTGATATGACTGTATGTTGGTGTTTTATCCGAAATTTTTTTGTGATTTTCAGATCAGCCAAGGAGTCTGGATGGATCAGGACTCACCACTGATTTTCCCTGTCGGATGGGCATACAGAACAGGATACAAATTGTGCGCAACTGCACATTATCAAAAGCATGCAAAGACTGTTGCGAGCACCTGGATAAATGTATTGCTGTTTTTTTTTTTGCTTTTCGGAACTGACCAATACTAGTTAGCAACAGTAATTTGGTTTCGCTCACTCAAACCGGAACTAAGTACCTGTAATGCAAAGCCATCTACTGAAAAGTCTCCATTCTTGCCATGGCTCTTTCTAATTTTTTCAATATAAAATAACGTAACGTTTACTCGTCTTAAAATGCCATTAGTTTACTTTATCAAGTGCTTTTACGAAAGAAATTGAACGTTGATTATGTTTTTTGGGGGTTTGTTTGTTTTGAAGGCAGTATCACTCAGGCTCTAAAAGAGTGCTTGTTAGAGATTGCATTTATCGGATCCTTTATTGAGCTGTTTGGTAAACTTGTGTGGCACCCTTCATTTCGGGCAGGATTACCCCCTGTTGCTGTCGTTAGACTGATGCTAATTTTAGCGAAAAAGCATGTGGTTTTGTTTCAAAACACAATCAAAATACATTTTGAGAAAATGTTTTTGGAAAATTAATAATTTTTTTTTTTTGCTCGTTTTTAATTTTATTCTTTGCTGGTCTGATGTTTTTTATATTAAACCAGAACTTATAAAGACTGATATCATTTCTGAATCCCATGGTATTACGGATTTCAGAATTCACACTATGTGTTGTATGATGAGCATGATGCACCTCCGTGGTATTTCAAGACATACGCTGCACTGAATCCTGGAAAGGACTATGGCGCAATGTGGAAGGAGGGAATGACGCTGGAAGTATTGGATCCACTAGATACCTGGAAAGAATTGCGGCCAGCAACAGTTATCGAAGTTTTGGGTGATGGCTATCTG